GAATTTCGAAAAATCCCTTCTTAGTGTGCGTTTCCATGACTTACCCTAACTGTGTACCAAATTTCACCACTTGATGTTCAGCGGTTTGCTCTGGGCGATGATGAATCAGTCAGTCAGTCAGGACAAGTAATTTTATATATTTAGACAGATTCGGCGTTGATAGAATATACACTGTATTAATGAATACATGTCCGTAATATTTGCTATGGTCCGGAAAACTAAACCACAATTACTGTAAAGGTCAAAGCAACACCGACAATTCTGAAAATTAATTCACACTTCATAGAAAATATATTACAACCCGAAAACGAGATCTTATCATGCAAGAATTTTCGAGAATATTTTGATAGAGATTTTTGTAATGATATATTAGAGGTCGAGACGCTTCTATATTCTAAAATATTTCGATATCTCGCATTAGAAACACGTGCAGTAGACAAGCAAACCACAAGAAAAAAAAACTAAACGGAACTACAGTCAAGAAGAAAATTGCTAAACAATACATACGATTATAATTTCGTTTTGAAAAAAGTAACATAAATTGAACGTTATGTTTTTCCCCATTGCAAGTGTCCAAGCAAACAATGTCGACGAATACGAGTCATTGAAGTTATAAACAATTACCTTAATTTCTGTGTAATTATTCGATAGAATATTAAAATCTGCTGAAACTAAAACACCACCTTTTAGCTTTTTCGATAATTGTGTAAATGCATTCTTTAACTCTTTACGTGTCGATACGAAGAAGAAGAACACGTGTGACTAAATTTAACATCGTGAAAATAAGTGACAACACGATAAAGTGATTGTTTCTGTCAACACGATAGCCAAAAATTTCTGTCTTCAAGAGATTATATTGTACTTCTCTGTTTTAAAAAGTAAATTAAAAGAAATTCGATAATTCCGTCATTAAAGCAAATTTATATTACCAGAAACCAAATAACATTTTTCGATTTACATGCATTAAGTTTTCTTGAGTTTGATATTTTAATTAATTTTTGTAAGTTATCGCAGATATCTTTTTTTATATTATAAATCTATAGAAACTATACGAACACATGACTGTATATAAAAACATTTGAAAAAACTTTAAGAAAAAGAATAATGGGCAATTTTTTACAAAAATTATACAGATAAGAATGTTGTATAAAGTGCGTAAGTTACTTAAGATTAAAATAATGATACAGTAGAACCTCGAAAACTCGGCTCTCGATAACCCGGCACTCCGGATAACTCGGCCACACCCTGGCAGGGCAAAAAAATCCTTAGTTAATTAATTTTCATGATAGACAGCTTTATAAAAGTATAAAAGCTCTCATAAAGTATTTTTCTAAGGTCTGTCTTATCAGGTAAATTACTGTACACAGTGTATTCATTAATTTTCATTTTCATGTAGTAAAGGCTCTATGCCTTCATAAAGGACGTACTTTTCCTTTGTTTAAGGGTATTTGGGCAGTTTATTCTCTGTTATATTTTCAAGTAAACAATACATACAAGTACAGTACAGTATTTTCTGAGGAAACGCTCGTACTTATTTTTTAACCCATTCCCGATAACCCGGCATTTTCACAAACTCGGCCACCCTTCGGTCCACATTAGGCCGAGTTTTCGAGGTTCAACTGTATTGATAATAGAGAAACAGTAGTTTGATAATTTTCATCCATATAACTTCATGCTTTGGAAATATATTGAGATATTTCATTATCTTCCTAATTTGTATGAATTTCTATTATCTTTGTCGTTTTTATAATTTCTATAAAGTTTTATAACTTTGTATTAGATTAAACCAGATAAGAAATATATAAAGTTACAATGTTAAAATTTCCCTTATTTTCTTCGATTGCTTTATCGGAGAAATGCAGTAGCCTACACTTAACAGAATTAAAACGAATGCAATAAAAAATATTACGTTTTTGTCTTGTGCAATTGATTTTCTGTAAAAATTTAACTATGTTGCTTTAAATTCCTGTTTTTTTTTTTCGTATTTGTCGGTACAAAAGTAAACGTTGTAAACTTATTTTAAACACAGCGTCAATCTAAAGAGACATGCAATCAAGTTTCAAAACAAATATATCTAAGACTTAAAATAATTAAAAACATTTTAGTTTGACAGTGAACAATCTATATATATATATAAATGGACATGTGTGTCTTTGTATTTCACTTTTCAGCCAAAACTACACATCACACATGAATGGTGTTTGTATGTGGTAGTAGCCCAAGTCTCCATTCCTGCGCTATGGTAGTCGCGTCTCGATAGCTATAAGGGTGTGGGAGATATGGGGTTGAAAGTAGTTGACTTCGAAGATGTGTAACAATGAAAGTGTCAACAATGGAAGTGTTAAGAATCGAAGTGTTGAGTAACAAAGGAAGTGTTAATATAAAACGGCATGCAAGATTTACAGGCGGTTTTTTGCGTTTTTGCGGGAAATCGAACATATTTTTAGACTCGCGTAAAAATTCTCTAATTAGTATGGAAACGGGAGACCTAATTCGTGCATTCTGTGAAAACGGGTAAGATTGGCTATAATGTAATTATCTTAATCTTTACTATCGTTACTTTTTGCCCACAAATAAAAACCCAGTGAAGTGGGTCCTTGCAGCTAGTAAAGAATAATTATTTATTCTGTTACTTTTTCCAATTTTTTGAATGTTTCTGTCCTATGCCTAATGAGGTTTTCTTTGTATTTTTCGTTCGGATGGGTCCAAAACAGAGTTTTCTTTTTAAAGTTGTTTCGAATATAGTACTGAGAAGCCCAGAGATTTTTTCCGCTTTTAGAGCATTAACAAGACCCACAAAATAGAGTTAGTTGTGCGACAAGGGACAAGCCTGAAATATGCTGGACAATACAGCAAATAAAATAATTGGAAAATTTTCAAATTCGCTAACTTTGTCACTTGTCTCGTAATTTTTCAAATGTATTTTCTAATAACGAAATATTAATCGTGTTGTATGAAACCCAGAACGACTCTTATGAGTAGATTTCTGGTGCAATCCTTCGGAAATTTTTTAAATTATCAGATAATTTCGCAATATTTCTGTTATTTCGAAAAGTATGACCTAGTTTTTGTATATGTTTTTTACAATCCTTCATTGAAATAATGACTAGAATTGGGCATATCAATATCGGTTTTTCATTATTTTTACTAAAAGCATTGTTTAAATATATTGACTTTTATTTCTCTAGAAATCATCGTTTTGCATGCAATTATTATTTGAAAATACTTTTGTTTTATCTAATTTCTTATTCGAAATTTTGTGTGAATTTTCCTTCATATTTTACTTTTTCACTAGTCTTTTCAAAAATAGTTTTATTGGGAGGAACGTAAGAGGAGCTTTTCCTGATAAGCAACAAACTGTTTTATCTGTGATCGGAATTCAAAGCAACCTCTTATCATAAATTATGATTTTTGGCAAATATGTACAACTTGACAAGACCGATATTCTGACCAAGCCAGAATTTTGAACATCGCCCTATTGGCTGAGATATTCAAGATGAAGTTTCTTCATATAAATTCTACGGATCGATTTCAGGTTGTAACATGAATGCTCATTACGTGTCAACTGAGTGTCCAGTTGCTGGAAATTGATTTTTAGGGCAGTCTTTTACCTTGATGTTTATAACGAACGTTTAATATGTGTTCCCTGCAGCCACACATACTGGTTATATGTATCCCTCTAATTAGACAGATAGCAAGGTTATATTAACCAGTTTATTCACGATCTTCTTCTATGATTGTAGTTGCTAAAGTATTTGCAAGGCACATTATACTTCATTGGTCATTATTACATTACGTATGTGTTCTCAAAATATCTTCTTTGAAATTAATTATATACTTACTTGATTATTGAATAACGTAGTATCGTAGCAATATTCATAATAATATAACGATTTTTGCTGTCTGACACATTGCACATGCCATTAATTTCTGTGCTGTATTGTTGCAGGCGATAAACTTAAACCCGACAAAAAAATTTATAAGCTAAATCATCCTAAAATCGTTTCACAAATAGTAAATTATTTACAAAGAGATGATAAAAACTTGAACGAGAATTTGCAAAAAGATGGATAAGATAGAAAAATTTGAAGGTCATTCTGAAACCGAGCAAGAGGGCAAGGAGACTAACGAAAAGGAGGATCGAAATTTAGGTAGAAAATATATGTGAAAATATAAAACTACCAAACGGTGTGATAAGCTGCTGCTGAGAGACATAAGTAGAAATTCTCACTAGCTACTTCCTGCAGTCATAGAAAATGCTAAATCAGCAAAAGCTAAGTGGAATGTTGGAATAATTTATTTACAGGTAAAATGTAGGAAATTACAGTTACATATAACAATCAGTATAAAACAGCATAAGAGGCTAATTTCCTCAAGAAAGACATAAATAATACTGATATAATAAAGTAATGGTCTTTATAGATGTTTGTATTTAGCAGGCTCTTACACACGAAATACCCATATTCTAGAGCATCGATGGCTAAACTCTTTGAGTCGGTTAAATTCCAGATGCGTGGACTATCATGGCGGCACTTCCTGTTTTCCGACTGCCAGCCTCGACACCGGAGCGGTTTGGAGACGACAGATGTCACGTGACGACGCGAGCGAACGGCGACGGCGGCTGTCATGGCGGCTCATCGCTGATTCCAGCAAACAAGAAAGGAAACAGTGGGGACGCACGTTCTAACCTAACCTAACCTATTCTAATAAATTACCATAATCATTACCAATTATATTATTAGAATAGTTAGGTTAGGTTAGAACGTGCGTCCCCACTGTTTCCTTTATTTTGTTTGCTGGAATCAACCAACAGCCCGTCGAAAATTCGAAACAACCGCACTAGCAGAACACGCGCAGGCGCTCGCATCGTCACGTGACATCTGTCGTCTCCAAACCGCTCCGGTGTCGAGGCTGGCAGTCGGAAAACAGGAAGTGCCGCCATGACAGTCCACGCATCTGGAATTTAACCTTTGAGTCTGACACAATAACGATATTTAAAGAAATTAAAGGATTAATACTATAAAAGTTATATTTTAAATGAAGTCTGACACAGATGCCATTGCACACAACTATAAACTTTTCGAACGTGTTTATTAAATACTGTATTACTTTTTCTCTCGGAAAAGTTACAAAATTCTTTGCTACATATTTTATTTTTATTATATGAAACTGTAATGAACCAGTATGAGTGTGTTTCCTATATTTTAGAAATCTCTCTTCGTTTCTTGGCATTCGGCAGTCATCTATGAGTTTGCTTGGTAGAATTTTTTAGGGAGAGATCCACTTACTTGTTAGTGTTAATAGCCATAAAAAATATAATCGGATGTTTTCGAAAAGAATATAAATATGAATTCATTGTTTTAGTTTTAAACTGATGTCTAACACTACTTTTTTTTGAATGTGCCACAATAAATTGTTTTTTTTTATTTGATATTACTACACATTCTTAATGATATACTTTATACATAACATAATTTATAATGTATAAAACTAGTTTAAATATTTACATCGCATTGCATAAACTTGCATAGTAATGAAATTACAAATGCTTTCGGATGCGAGGAAGTATTTTAAAAATTTAACAACCTCGTGAGACATTCCGCTCTACCTCACGTAACATTGCTTTTTTGATTAAACAAACAATATTTTTAGATTTTACCAGATAATGTTTATTTACCACTCGTTCCTATCAATAAAGTGGAGACGATAAGTAATTAAATTCCCTTTATCCCAAGCGTAAAGTGATTCTTCCTGCCAATTGTAAGTAATTAAATAATTTTGTCGACAAGAATTTACGAATTTTTCTTCCACTTCTTCGGTGTCATTAGAATAGAAATCAAATACGAGACGGATTGTTGTTTCCAATTCATTTACTTTGTTAATTGCGTATAGAGATCCACATGCCACGAACATTTCCCCTACGCTTTGTGGATGCAATGTGAGATTCCACTTAGATAAAGTTTTTAAATTTTCTGAATCAAATTTTATCACTATGGTATTTTCAGAATGTTTTGAGGCAAATATCATCCACAAACCGTTTTCGTCGGCTTCGAAATCTACATAGGAATGATTAGAATTATATAAATATTTGCTGCCATCGTGAGCAGCATCCTCAATAAAAAATTCCTGATATGTGTTGGTAAAAACATTAAACTTAATAAATTTATCACTGTTTATAGCATGGTAATAAAGAGATCCGTTATACATAATATGACCATTTCCTTGAATGGGATAAGGAAGAGTAAAGTTTCTGTAAATTTTATCAGCTTGGAAATCGTTCAATGAACTGTACTCGTGTAGTTGTGCGGTATCTCCTATTACTTCTTTAATGAACCAAATACTGTAATTTTTCGTGTTGTTTCCAATAGGATCTGGCATCCACCATCCCCAATCTGAATCGACAAAGCGAGAAAATACAGGATTTTCTACATTGTTCAGTAGACAATCTGCAAATTAATTAAACATTATAAGATATTTTGTTTTATTTTAAAATATCTTACTTATTACTTTATTTATTACAACAAACTGTTTAACCCCATTTCATTACTGCTTAAAATAATCATTTAGTTGTTGTAAGTTAATGAATCAAATAAAATAAATTTTATAAATAGCAAGCCAAAGAAAAGTTTTATTTACTGCTTCCTTTTTTTCTGTCGCAGCCATGCACAAATCAAAAAAGTTTATTTTAAATGATTTAACTGTTTAGTTTCTTTTATTCTTTTTATCGAAAACTCAACTATTTTATAATTCCCCAGTAATACTTTTCTACGTATGAATCTCACACCCTGACATAAGAAGCATAATTAGATTCTACAGCTAACATTTTACAAGAAGAACAGTTTATCTTATGAGCGATCGTGGAACTATTTCAAACAAAATAACAACGTACATTAGAAATCTTAGTGTTTTCTGAGTGTAAAGTGATCTACAATCGGCAAATATAATTATTTCGTTAATGTTATCAGTGTGTATGTTACAATGTGCGAATTGCACTATAATATACTACCTTAATTATACATTCGGTAAGTTTTAGCATTATAACTGTACATTTATTATCCGGATGTAAGAATATATATTTTTTATAAAACACTATAATTAGAAAGCGCATTTTCTTTCTTTTTATTGAATCATTTCTTCATTTTTAATACAAAAGATACCAAGGACTCTGCAATTAATTTAAAAAGTTTATGCTTTATTCAAATTGTTGATCAAAAGTTAAGAACATTAAATGGCGTTTATTCAAATACAGTAGAGCGTCGATTATCCGAATCAATTGGGGACTGGGGTTGTTCGGAAGATCGAAGTTTCGGATAACCGATTATGTAATATACTATTATATTATGTAATATACAAAAAATATATTAATTTATCCCAATTTGACATTTTTCTCCGTTGCGTGTCGCTTCGCGTTGAATTTTCGTCGAAGTTAAGCCTAACGAAAACTATTGTATCATTAAAAATTATTTCTTTATTTTGTACGAACAAAATAAATATATTGAAAAATATAAAAACAACAAAAAATTATACTTCAGAAGTTAATTTAGTATCAAAACCGTAAAATATTTGAGTAGCCCAAAACATAGCTAAAGATTGCAGCGCCACAGCACTGGCGAAAATATAAATTTGCCGACTGGAATTCTTTCGGATGATTGACTTTCGGATAATCGACGCTCTACTGCAGTTTTTGTATAAAGTTGTTTAAACATGAAAATTCTTTGTTAAAATATTTAAATCAATTTTTAATTCTATTGCTACTTCTAAGAAAAATATAGAAAATCCATACAGTATATCCTAAAATACTTTCATACAGTAACTGTACTTAATTTCAAAAGATATTTTTTATATAAATAATTTACTCTGTAAACTCACTGCTAAAAATTTCATTTTAATCATTTTAAAAATAGAAAAATGCATGGTATTCGAATTTTATTGAATTTTATGAAAATTAGTTTGAACGTATAACGCTAATATGAAACTGTTATTATATTATTTAACAACAAAATGTTTTAAATATTGAAAAATAAACTTAACAAATTATTTTGAAATACTAAGCTAGCATTAACTGGAACCATATCTACTATTATTATTGAGTGAAGTTCATTCTCAGGATTGATAACAATAGTATGAACATTCATGTGTATGGGTGGCACTTCTTATTTTTTGAAGAGATGCTTTCATGTGTCTCTGAATGGCAGACAAAGATGCCATTGCTGCAATTTTTACTTTTCTTAAAATTAGAAAAACTTATTTGTCTACCATGAGTGATGACCTTCCAGATCCCTAAAGTATCCACAATACCCAATACGTTATCACCGTTCGCTCAACATGGTCATTATGCTTTTTCCAGTCTCATGATGCAGCCTTTCTCAACCTCTAACAATATTGTGTAATGTCTTTAGTTGAATCGTAATGGCGCTCATGACGTTCGACGATTTCTACCCAACGTGTACATTTAAAATTCTGAACACTATAAGCCCCCACGAGCATTTTATAAGATTATATGGTAGTGATTTTAGAAGTAGTAGTGACAGTATATGGCAACTGTAATCGTTTACATACGAAGAAATATGGTCTGAAAAATACCTGTAGTTGTACGCTAGATTGTGCAGTTATCATACAACTTTGTCTGGATGCGTTAGGAAAACAATCGAGTATAAAAACTAATAATGTTTCACAACTGAGAATGGTTCACGAAAGAAATGTTGAGTAGTAGATTAGGTTAGATCGATGTGAAGACAATTTGCTACTAATAATTTACTAAGATTGTGAACGATATATTTCAGCCATAAGAATGGATAGACTACTTACTGGTTGCATTTGATAGATTGTGAAATATTAACTTTCAAATAACAATGATGATTAACTAAATCGCTTTACCAATAGTGAAATATGTATATATACATATTTTGTTAATAAAAATTTATAATTTAAACTGAAATATTTAAAAACTTTAATATGGCTAAAAATTAATTAGGCATTGATAAATAACTGTTATTTATACATTTCTAAAGTACTCATGATGAGAATTATTCGGTATGTACTGTTTTAAATTTCAATTCTGATGCGTTCCTAAGAATTCATATAGACACCACCAACATCTACAAACAACAAGTTTTCCTCAGTTCGTGATGTAATGTGCCTGTGCATCCTGAACCAAAACTGTAATCATTTTAGCTTCGAATCACAATTCTTAAATTAATTTTTTTCGGATCGTGTGTCGCATAACCTCTCTCTGTACGCAACCATCTTTGCACAACGTCATAGATTTGTTACACCTCAGCGTGCAGCAATCTGCACTAACAAGTAAGTCATGAATAGACAACAAGTGATCATCTTTGTTGCTACTGCGCGTGTTGCATCTTTAGTGATAGTTCACGAAATCGATTCAGGGATTATAAATTTCCGTTACTTCTCTACATGAAATCCAAAATATTATTATCACGGCATTATTTTTTAATTATATAATGATTTCTCAATGCCTATTTACTTTCCACCCACTCTGTAGAAGAGAAGGATTGGTTATTGAAAAAATAAAATATTAAAATAACTGTAACATTAAAAGCATAAACTGTAAAATTTAAAATTTATTTATGCCATTACACGGTTATTTATTTATTTGTAATGTTTTTTTAATTATTAAAAAATAATTAATTTAATACAAATGACATTAAATAATTTACCTTTTTTTCTAATTCCCAAATTTTTCTTCCACTCATGATTATATTTCTCTCTATCGATTACTTTCATTCCATGTTTTCCTACTAATGTACATTGAGTAAAAAGTAAATTATAAAATATATGTTAAATAATTCACTAGAAAAATCAAAAAGCTTTATTGTGTAAATATTCATATAATAAAGAAATGAAAAAAATATAAAATATTTTAATGCTATAATTAATAGATTATATTAATCACCTGCCGTTGGAGACCCCAACGAACTATCAACGTTTTCTTTGAGTTTCGATTCTGCTGTTAAAACTGTACATAAACCCTTATAGATAGGAAGGTGTTGAAACAGTAATTCATAAAGCAATTGAGCTTGTTTCTTCAATGGGTCTTCAGACATTTCACATAGAGAAATGCCAGGATCGCCTTTAGAACCTTTCTCTCCCGATTGTCCTTTTTCTCCCATTCTTCCTGAAATAAATTCCATAATAATATTCCTGTAATAAAGTTATATTTTTATTATTGTTCTAGATATTATATTCCTTGCTGTTGTATATAACAGAGGAAAAGTATGGCGATCGATGGAAAATGACCCCCCTTCCAGATTTTTACATTCATGTCAGGAGACCTTGAAACGCCGAAAAATGGAAAAATACTACTTGTACTTATAAATACTTACATTATTTTATTCAATTATTTTATTTTAACCCAGTTTTAACACACACAATTCCTCTTATTATTATCATTTTTTAAAATTTCTAATTTTTCCAAAACTTACTCAAAACATCGAGAATTATATTACATACAGATTTTTATTAAGCTGCAATTTAAAAAAATTGTAGACTTCTAAATTCCCACTCTTACTGTCTGTTCTTTAATTATGCGAAAGAAGTTAGATATATGAATGCTGAGATCAGATCTGGACAGTTATCGTCGCAGGAGGCACAAATTAAGTACAGTACATACCAAGTTCGATGTTTAACGGAAGTTGTGTTATGAAATTCAAATATTACTCCCCTGAAAAATATTACATTGATGACCAATACGTCTTTATTTTTAGTGGAAAAGTATGCTGTACAAGGGAAAGCCACTACTAATTTCAGACAGAAAGCATATATTTTAAATTAAATAAATTAAAAATGTGATTAAAACTTTCAGTTCTGCATTGTAAAGATGTATCAACAAATAATTATTTTCTTTTAAACAAATTCGCTAAAATGCTTTAAAAATATTTCAATGGTTTTCTATAATGATTTCTTATTTTTTAATCGCTTTCACCTTACGTTTTATCATTGTTTACTTAAGAAACCCTTATCTTTCGTGAGCGGCATCCCATTTTAAATTCTTTGTAATAATGGATAAAAGATAACTTTTTTTAATGTAAATAAACAAACAACTCACCATTTTTACCAGTTTCTCCAAGATTACCTTTTTGACCCTTTTCTCCACTTTTTCCAGATTTTCCCTTATCTCCAATATCGCCTTTTTCTCCAGGTTTACCTTTTTCTCCTGGTTCACCTTTATCTCCAAGACCACCTTTCTCTCCTAATTCACCTTTTGTTCCAGGTTCACCTTTATCTCCAAGACCACCTTTTTTTCCTGGTCCACCTTTTTCTCCTGGTTCACCTTTATCTCCAAAATCACCTTTTTCTCCTGGTTCACCTTTTGTTCCTGGTTCACCTTTATATCCAAAATCATTTTTTTCTGCTGGTTCACCTTTATTTTGAATAAAGCCATTTTTTTCTTTTCTTGCTGTTTCACCTTTTACTTTTCTTTTATCTGGTTCTTTGTTGCCTTTAATATTATCTCCATCTGGTTCTTCTTTTTCTTTTGGGATATATAGAAATTATTATTGTTTGTATTTAGTAAAACAGAGCAGAATATTCTAATAAACTCTGAATAATACGCTTTAACTGAAAACGTTATATAAAATATAATTTATTAACTTTCAGAATTTTGAAAAATTTATTACTTTCAAGACTTTATATAATGAATAGTTATCAGTTCTAAGAATGTTTTAATGTGATTACATTTTCACGTAATTATTCAATACGTTCTATACTCAGAATAAGAACAACAATTTCTTGTAGTATATTTTTCAAAGTAGTTCAATTGATGAATGTTAGTCTAATTTTGAAAGAATTTAATGACATGAATTCAAAAGGAATATATATATATATATTCAAATCTGGAAAAAAACAGAAATTTAACGTCAAAATTTATATTTATTGCCAATTTTCATCATTTTATACATAATTTTTTATGCTAGCAAAAGTATTAAAATTGAGAATTTTTTTGCCAATTTCTATGTTTTCAGATATCCTGATGAACAAGAATGTCAAAATACAGAAGCAATTCCCAATTCAGTGCATGTATGTTTTTATTTACTTAGTTTAATATTTTACATTGGGATAAAAAATTAAAAACGAAATTTAGCATGATACTTGTGTATAAGAAGCATTGATACTACTAATTTTTGGTAGTTAAAAATTGAGGTGTGAAGAGATAACATAGGGTCATCTACCATATCTCGGTGGAATGAGTCTTATGTTAGTCAAAATGTTATTAGTTATTTGAATTTATAAGTTTTTTATAAAAATTATTTTCACCCAAAAAATTAATTTTTTGCCATTTCATAATAATTAAAAATATGAAAGTTATCTATAACAGAACCTCATAACAGGATTCAGATCGAGTGATCTAGTAATCCGTGTTGCTAGATCATCACAGGGATGCCTAAGAGATAGTTTGTTGGATGCTTTTTGATCTTAACTTCCTTGGGCGTTTAGACCATTTATTAAAGTCGACAGAGCTTGATAGCCTATTGTTCGCACACTGATGACGTGTTAACGACTTTTCATTCCTTACGCTGTCCATACAGGAAATGGAGAAAATCTTTTGCTGGTGTATGGATAATCCGCAAAATCTGTGCTCAGATAATCGAGACTTCGGTATAATATGAAATACGCTGAACCACGAAGGCACTTGAGAGGCCTGAGGCGCAATTCAATTTTGAGGTTTCCTCTAAAGATTTTCACTTCCCCTACACTCCACAATGTGCATTCTACGCGCATATTTTTTACTCTTGTATTCAGTAAATATACTGGTGGACCAAAAAGGTGAGACATTTGGAAATAACATTGAAAATTAACCAATATAAAATTACAACTGCCTGGCTGTATTTAAAAGGTTACTGATGTTCAGATTGTATTAATTATGAAAATTGAAACTTATTGGTACAAGAATTATTAACTTTCAACAGGTAAGTGTTAGACACAAAAGAAATCTAGTAATCCATGGATATAAAAAATAAGTTATTTTAAAATTTACTACTGATTTGTATTTCAAAAATCTAGTAATTTACAAATAATAAGAATTTATTTGTAAATTATTATAACAGTTTTCACTATTGTTTGGTAAATAATTAAGGGTAATTTAATTTAGGGAATACTGCTAAATTATTAAATATTTTTATTATGAAAAAAAATTAAGATAATTTTTTAGAGCTGAATTTTGACGCCCCCTTAATTTATGAAGCCTCAGGCACGTGCCTCATGCGCCTGTAAATGAAATCTGGCACTGCGCTGAACTGTAACGAAATTTGTATTTTATTTTCATAAACTAAATTTTATTTCCATTCATATCTACTCGGTTGGAAAGTCTGCACTAATATTTACAGAGTGTTGTGTGATAAGATAATTAATGATAAATCTATTTATTAAAAATGTACTAAAATATAAACAATGATATTATTTCTTGTTATGTAATTTATATTGAAAATGTAAAACATGTTTTTACATTTCTACAAAGAAGTATAGCGAAATTGACAGTATTAAACGAATACTAAAATTTAAGAAGTTTGGAATAACGGACGTACAAAAGTAAATAAAAGTAAAATCAAAAAGTTTATTCAAAATGTGCTTTGTAATATACTAGAAATTATTTTTACAGAGATTTAATACGCTACAAAGCAGATAGATTAAGTTTGAGGAAATATAGCAACATAACACATGAGCGCTTTGTCAAAACAAAACCTACGAGAAACTGGCTCCTATTTACGTATTAGATACAAGAAAATATCCCGGAAAACTGCACGTCAGGCCAGCTGGTTGGTCAGATGCAAGTCCACGTCTAAATATCAGTATTAACTGGTTATGCCTATTCGGCAGTTTATAGACCCAACAGTAAAATACGAATACAAATCTTTCAAGCAAAAAGATCGACCCCCGTATAAGATCATTGATTATTCCGTTTTATATGAATTCCATGTTGTACGAGTCACTTAGATTTTACAAATACGTGTACCGGGCTGTGAACGGCTCACGTATTTGTAAAATTTAAGTGACTTGTACAACATGGAATTCATATAAAACGGAATAATCAATGATCTTATACGGGGGTCGACTGTATGATGTTCAATAAGATTAAATTGTTATTTGTCTACTTTAATTTAATTGTATAATTATATTATGTAAAATGATTTAACAATACTCTCTATAGTCACTGTGTAAACAAGCGCATAACTAGTTTTTTTTTTAAATGATCGTTACAATTGATATGAAGAGATTTTTCTGCTTGATCAATAGTGATTACATTTGAAAAAGTCGTTACCAAAAAATAATCATTAATACCGTACCTTTTATTCCTTTGTCTGTTCTTCGAGTTGTTTTCTGTTCTTTTATTGTTGGTTGACACAATTCTTCTCTCTTTCCTATAAACTTTATTTGCTTTAGAATAAAAACAATTGGAGTAGTTAATTTAATAGCGAATACCTGTAAAGAATTTTCTTGCCTTTTCACAACAAGCTTCGATGGCAGATTCCTTGATTAGTATGGAAATTAAAAGAAAAAGTCAATTAAAGTAAAATATTTTTCATTATTTAATATTTAAAATTAATTCTATTTATGTTCTCTAATGCTTAAATCTAAACAAATTAAAATACCGAAATTCTTAGCAATGTTATCATTCACTACATTTGTTACAACGATTGAAACAGAAGACAATTCTTACTTCATATAATAGTCTTTCTTTAAATCAAAATGCATTTTGGATTTTTAGTCTCTCTTCAGTCGATTTTACAATTGTTTATACTACATTTGATTACATTACAATGAATTGTCATTTATCATAAATTATTTTGTGGTTTGTTATTATTTAAAATCCTGTATTATGTCTTCTGTTTCAACTGTTGTAATAAATCTAGTGAAAATTGGATAGAATAACAAATCAACAGGATGATAACGGATTCTATTAGATACGAAGCAAATAATAATTTGTTAACAATGTTGTTAATCTAACTACCTGAAAGTGCCAATCATCTGTTAATTCGTTGGGTCCACCACGTTCGCACTGTATCGATGTTNTTTAAAATTAATTCTATTTATGTTCTCTAATGCTTAAATCTAAACAAATTAAAATACCGAAATTCTTAGCAATGTTATCATTCACTACATTTGTTACAACGATTGAAACAGAAGACAATTCTTACTTCATATAATAGTCTTTCTTTAAATCAAAATGCATTTTGGATTTTTAGTCTCTCTTCAGTCGATTTTACAATTGTTTATACTACATTTGATTACATTACAATGAATTGTCATTTATCATAAATTATTTTGTGGTTTGTTATTATTTAAAATCCTGTATTATGTCTTCTGTTTCAACTGTTGTAATAAATCTAGTGAAAATTGGATAGAATAACAAATCAACAGGATGATAACGGATTCTATTAGATACGAAGCAAATAATAATTTGTTAACAATGTTGTTAATCTAACTACCTGAAAGTGCCAATCATCTGTTAATTCGTTGGGTCCACCACGTTCGCACTGTATCGATGTTGGGTAGAACTGAATCACACATTCATCGTCTTCCGTTAATGTCCTTTTGTTCCTCCAGTGACTTCGTACTTTACGAAAATGATTCGATCTGTTCTCTTCTCTCATCTTTTTGTCACGATATTTTCTCAAATGCCTTTTGATTAATGTGGAGCGTTCGAAACCAGGAGAATAGTAAACCGAGTAAAACAAGTCACTAATTAAAACACACAATATCAAAACTACTAAAACGTACAGAATCCTGAAATGCAAACAGCAACTTTTATGATAAGTTTCTATCATGACTTTAGTCAGTGTAATAAATCAAAAGATATAGCGATATGCCTAAATTAAATAATTATTAGTGTTAATATAAACAGAATCAAAGTCTAATTCTATCATATTATATTTAGATACATTAAATACTGAAATCTTTGTAGATTATTTTAGCTACTAGCAACAACAGATAAAAACAAAAAAAAAACCCCTAGCAAGAAGTTGCATAACTTTCCCGGAAAATGTGTTAAAATTATGTGTAACGCAATCTGTTTTCATTGAAAAAACGTTGTATATTTCTAAATATTATAAAATGGCAAAATACATAATTTAGGAGCAGAAATGAGTTTCATAAAAGCAATGAATTAAATAATTGTAAATGCTAATAACAAGTAAAATGTTTATTAAATCTCATCGCACTCGAGATATGACACATGACTCTCCTGTTGACATTTAACCACTGAAATTTAATAACCTTAATTTCCCTAATACATATACCCCCCTGTAAAATTTTATAACTTTGAGAAATGGGTCATTTTTGATCGATCGCCATACTTTTCCTCTGTTATATATAATGGCCAGAAAAGTAAAACGCAACTCTATATGTGTTACTAACTAATTAAATGTATACAAAAACATTAGAATACGTTACAGAAAAAAAATTAAGTTATATTGTTATAACTTGTGTGAGACGAAATAACATGAATAATCACTTATATTATAGCTGATAATTAAATCAGTAGCTTCCAGCGTTATGCCTGTACTAATGCCACGAACAATACATTAAACGGTGTATATTATTTAGTTGTTTTAATACTATGATATCATGCGAAGGTTTTTTACAGACAGAAGGTAAAGTAGGATGTTAATAAGCTTTCTAATAGATTTATGTTAATGTAGATTATATTATAGAATAAATGTTTTTTATTATTAAATATAAAATATTTTATTTTTAGATTAAATAATTTTAAATAATGAATAATTTATAAACCTCTAAGATATAATAAAAGGCATTTAATCAAGAAAATATTTCAGAATTTTAATAAATTATTAATTATCCTAAGTAAATATTTTAAAATAAAAAAGTGGAAAAATTGCCAAGATCTGAACAGATTTGCATCACGCGAAAGTGATAAACAAATCAGAAAGTTCTATCTAAATCCAACAATTTATATGCAAATGTAATGAAAAATTTAGTTTATTATTTAGTCGTTTTTGATTAAAAACAACTTCTCGAATTCGAGCGAATAATTAACTACGCACTTTTTATATTTTAAATGTCCTAACTTAAATATTTAACCATTAAGTTAAGGCCGAATCGCATTAGACGAGTTAAGAAGCCTTTTGCCGACTTATTTACTCGCGGCTATTATAAACACTTTTCTATTTACTTCGGTTAATAAACTCACTTAACGATTTCTCCGAGAGAGTAGCGACATGGGTTCTCATTGTCGTTACTCGCTGTTGTAAGTTTAATCTCTGACTTAACCTAGAGAAATGTAAAGCCGCCAGTACCCAGCTTATGCAGGACATTATCTCCCGTAACATCGTCATTGTCACCATCCAAAAGCCATACGTTATGAATGGCAATATCTCTCTTCTTGGTAGTCACAATATCTTCTCCAATCACAATTCTGACCCAATGCTTACTGGTATTCTCGTGGCAAATCTTCACCTCAATCCTCAGTTCCATCCTAACCACAGTAGCAACTACCATACGACTATTCAAATCCAGTACAACGACTTTATGTGCTATATTATCTCTGTATACTTCCTCTGTCCATAAAGATTACAGCTGCCTCTTTCCAGGAACTAGCCTCTACTCTCAGAACTCTCTTCACCTACACATTGTTCGTCTTTGGCGAACAGTGTTCCATTTGGTTCGCACCACAGGAAGATCCACGTGGTACCGCCGTTAAGGAGTTTATGGAGGAGCACGACCTTTTCTCCCTAAACTCCAGTGATCTTCCAATCTTTTCGTCCACACAAGGAGAGAGCTAGATCAAGTTTGCTTGGCCAATACCACTCTTTATAACATGGCAGCCTCCTGCTATACTATTGATGCTCCCACAAGTGCCAATCATCTGTTAATTCGTTGGGTCCACCACGTTCGCACTGTATCGATGTTGGGTAGAACTGAATCACACATTCATCGTCTTCCGTTAATGTCCTTTTGTTCCTCCAGTGACTTCGTACTTTACGAAAATGATTCGATCTGTTCTCTTCTCTCANGATCAAGTTTGCTTGGCCAATACCACTCTTTATAACATGGCAGCCTCCTGCTATACTATTGATGCTCCCACTGTTAGTGATCACAATTACGTCATCACAGAGATCAGCAACAGCCTTCCTCCTTACAACAAAGTCACTAAATGTCATACCAACTTGGACCTGTTTGAGTAACTGTTGAAGCGAAACTGAAATCCTGGCCCCTTTTATAACATCCAAAGGACTGAAGAAGTGGACCATCTAATAGATCAATTCGACTCTACCATCCAGAATACATACTCCGTTGCAACCAGGACAGAAACCCTGCCCAAAAGGGCCTCCTGGTGGAATTCTCACTTCCAGGAACTCAGAAAAAAGACTAGGAGAGCTGAAAGGATTTTTCGCAGGGATCCTAACGTTGATCAAAAAGAACTTCTGAAGCAAAATTATCGTAACATCTTCCACGAATATAAAACATAGATAAACAAAGCAAGGTCTGACTCTTGGCGGGCCTTCTGCACTACAAGAGACAACACAATTTCCTAGAGAGACCCCTTCCATATTGTTTTCCAAAAGTCTAAAAAAAAACTGAAATGGTTACTAATAAAAAATTTCGGATAGAAATTGCAAATTCGAACTGTATATCAGTTATCAGAATTAGTGTTTGATCTACAAATATATTAATGATGACAACGAACGTAACTCTAATTAAAAACGTATGTATGAAAGTAATTAAGGCCATTTTTAAATTAAGTTTTCTATTTATTCCCCCGTCATCTATAAAAGCTACCGTTTTAGGGAAAGTAAACGCGGTTGTTTTTTAAAATATCTGAATTAATAAGTCAGGAAGCCCGATAAAATAATAATATTTTTCCCATTTTATTTTGAAGAAAATTTTTATACATTCGTTCATTCCCGAAGAAAAATTATCACGTTTGTAGTGAAAAATATATTAGATCGCAGTTTCATAGAGGAAAAACAATACATTTTGTATTTACATTCTTTGTTACAGTAGTATATAGAATAGCTTCTGCTGGTAGATTTTCAATGGTAAGTTGGCTCTTATTTAGGTGTAACAAATGTAAAAAAAAACACGGAAAAATCCACTTGGTTAGCCTTTTGGCGAGGCGCGTGCATTATTCTTCACTCGGTCACAAGTTTTGTTTAGATAGGCTATTTACTTCATAACGCAAAAAAGAAAAAAAAAAGAAAGAGAAAATTAAAAAAATTTCTAAGTGAAATGTTTTCATTTCTTACGATATGAGTGAATTATGTTGTGTATTAAGGATAAAGATGATTCCTTTGGAAATGTGTTTTAAAAACTTATTCACAGTATGACATTATTTAAACAAGTGACACATTTTATTATGATTTTAAAAATCATGTTAATTTAAATTACTATATGTCACAGCAAATGAAAAGAATTACAAGTAATCGCTGTTTAACGATGGACTTAACGATACCTTCCGAGAAATACGTCATTAATTAGTGAATGAATACTGCTATTATGATAACAGTAGTGATTATTTAAAATAATGAGCTTAAGTATCCATACACGTAATTATTGTTATTTGAAATCAAATTAGTTGAAAAGCAACAAATAAGCATTAATTTTTATTTTTTCTTGTAACTAATGTAACAATAGACTAATATAATAATAAATACGATTGTTTAATAGCTTATCGACTTAAATATTTCTCTGCAATACATATGATACAGTACTATTGAATTTAAATTCCGCTGTAGCCATTCATTTAGAAAGTACTGTACGTGCAACAAATTTAAAAATAGGCTGATCGATTTTAACAATACTATTTTTCACTTTACAGTTCTAATGTCAGACAGATTTGCCTTTATAAATTTCATTGAGTTTTTGAATGATCGACTTTTATTGTTAATGCTCTTTGCCAAAAGTTTACCAAATATTTTCTTCAGCTCTAAATCGCTATCATAAACAAAGACAGCCTGTCTGTCGATTGGATTAATAATGATCAAAATCGCCAAAGTAAAACACCATTAATAAAATTTGAGATGCACATGTTGTTACTACATTAATTTCAAACACGTTACTGATAGTTTGTTAGAATAGTTTTACATTTATACTCGTTTTCAAATGGTTAAGCCGTTACTTCAGTATTGTAGAATTCCTCTACATGGTTCATAGACATTATCACATTAGTAACAATCATTGTGTAAGTTTTAAAAATAAGGAAAAACAGATGGATAGATGACCCGGTTAAGATGGAAGACTCGCTTTATAGAACCAGGGATCAAATCTAGTCAGCTCAACAAACCCCAGGATTTTTCGGAGGTAGACCGTCCTGATAAGTCGAGTCTCATCCTTCCCTGTAGTACCATTTTTGGACTTATAATGAGCTTGCTAAAAAGGACCGACTTAGTGCCCACAGGGTAGACAAGGTTAAAACAAATGAGTATTAATATGTAATCTAAAACTTTAACTCAAATATAAAAAATAAAAATTCATTTTCATTAACGCAATGTAATAATATAGAAGGAAATTTGAATACACGTGAATATTTTACAATTGAATTTCTTTGTGTTATCACGCAAAGAACAATATCGGCGCAAAACAATAACATATTCAAATATTTCTATTCAGCAGGTTATAAATAAATTTACTTATATTTCTCATTGTTAAAAAGTCACGCAGTATGATTTCTGTTTTTACAATCGAACTTAGTCTGATTTCTTTTCCAATTCATCTTGGCTTTTTTAATTTTAACTTTTCGTGTTACAATAAAATAAACGTTGTTAAATTAATCAACGTAAGCCGTAATTGTTTATTACTTTAAACAAAGTTTTA